CTCACACCGCCCCTCACATCTCACCTCACACCGCCCCTCACATCTCACCTCACACCGCCCCTCACATCTCACCTCACACCGCTCCTCACACCCTCACACTGCCCCTTACACCTCCCCTCACACCTCCCCTCACACCGCCCCTCACATCTCACCTCACACCGCTCCTCACACCCTCACACTGCCCTCAGACTGCCCCTCACACTTCACCTCACATCGCGCTCACACCGCCCACAGATCGCCCCTCACACCTCCCCTCACACCGCCCTCACACCTCCCTCACCCCACCCCTCACACCGCCCTCACACCTCCCCTCACACCTCCCTCACAACTCCCCTCAGACCGCCCCTCACACTGCTCCGCCCCTCACACCCTCACACCGCCTTCGTTCCGCCTTTCACACCGCTCTGCCTCTCACACCGCTTCCCGCCCCTCACACTGCCCTCACACAGCTCTTCGCCGCTTCTCACGGCTTTCACACCGCCGTGCCTCTCTCACCTTCCCTCGCACCGCTTCCCGCCTCTCGCACCGCTCCGCCCCTCACACCGCTCCGCCTCTCTCGCCTCTCGCACCTCCCCTCACATCGCTCCGCCCTTCTCACCTCCTCTCACGCCGCTCCCCGCTCTCACGATCCCACCCCACCCCGACCGCTCCGAACCGCGCAAGGCTCTGCTGCTCGGCTCGGTGCGCGGTTTCCTGCGCTGTTCTGTGGTCCTGCCCTGCCGTGCCCCGCTTGGTTCCCAGCGCTCCCGATCCCGCCATGGCGCTGAGGAGGGGTGTCCCGCTGGGCCGGCGCTCTCCCGCAGGTAGGGGCTGGAGCCGCTCCGGCCGCGGTGTGAGGGTCTCTCCCGGCGCACCGTCCCACACAGATGCAGCTCTTCTGCAGAGACGAGCGGCCGAGTGGGACCGGGAATGGTGGAGGCGGGTCTGTGAGGCGCGGCCCGCTCGCCCTACAGGTCCCGCCGCCGCCCCACCACGGGTGCGCCTGGCGCCGCTCGGTGATCGGGAACGCGTTATTGAGGGATAACGAGAGAAATGGGTGTCCATGTTCAATGAAATATCTAAGTTTAATGTTACAGCTGTATCCCTCGCTCCCTGTAATAACGTGAAGAATTGGCTTTCCTTCCAACAAGCCCCTCCGCCCCCATGGCTCTCTGTAAAGAAGCCTTCGATCCTACTATTCCAGCCGCCGCTATGCCTCTGTGGCGGCTGTAAGGATATCGTACCGGGATTTTGAAGATGTAGTAGCGCCTGTGTTTGTTGGAGGAGCGTGTAAATGCATGCAGCGTGAGCAGCTCCTGGGCGGTCCCCGGAGCAGTGCGTGGGTTGGGACCCGCCTGCTCTGGGGCACACGCAGAGATGCTGCAGGCTCAGCCTTGGGAGCTGGGGGACAGTCACTGCAGGCTCAGCCTTTGAAACCTGAGGAACCGTCACTACAAGGCTTTAAACCAGCTGGGGCTTCCCCTCAGTTTATTAGGAGCAGTTAGTGCCTGAGGAGCACATACTTGTGTGTCTCCATGTATCCCTAAGAACTGTTTTGTTTTCTTGAATACATTTTTTGTTTGGAGTTGGTTTTGGTTTGTTTTTTTTTTACCATTCTTTTACATGAATTTAGGATTTAAATTATTATTTTTCGGCTTGTCTCTAGTCCGTTCCTGGATTTGTGTATGTGTGGCAGGAACAGTTGAGCTGTACCTGCAAGGGCTTTTAAAGCACTGCAGTCAGTGACCTGGAACAGCACTGGTCTTTCTGAACTTGCATGATAGTGAACTGCCACTTGTAGACTTGCAAGTCTGCAAGTAAGTCTTGGTGAAGTTTGTGTGACTGCAGTGGGGACCAGCTTGGCAGAGGGGTGGAGGTAGCAGAGGAAGTAATTTCAACCATGCACTTAGTCACCAAAGTTCAGGTGGGCACCTTTATTCTGACCAGTATTCAGCCAAACTGTCTTTATTTTCGCTTGGGCTTATTTTTGTGTTGTTTTCTTGTTTGGAGTTTTTTGTTGTTGTTTTGTTGTTTTGTTTTGTTTTGTTTGTTAAGAGAGGACCATAAAAGGTAATGTGCCTCCTTACTTTCTTGTTTTATTTTAGAGGTACATGGTGTTTTAAAAATAGAAATTAGTAAATATTTTGTCACTTAACTGCTAGATTACATGGCTAACCTGTCACTTATAAAAATAAAAAATTGAACTCTGTGTTAAAAATTTGACATGCCTCTCTATTGATTTGGGAAGCAAGTTACAAAACAGCTTTGTGGTGCATCCCAGATGCATCCATGTTTAACACTTCCCCCACCATGGATGTTGAGCAGGTGGGACAGCTGTTCCTAGTGGCTAGTTTCAAGTCAGAGCAGAGATGAAAAGGAGGACAGGTTATATTTAATCACTGTAGATGATGTTTTTGGGTCTGTTGGTACTAGACACAATTCCAGATAGCCCATGTTTCAGTATCTCCTCCCATGCTGGGTATCTCTCTCCTCCTCATCTAGCTCCCCTTGTGCTTTGTGTAAAGCCTCATCGTGTTAAAATGTCTGCCTCTGCCTGGATCTCCTTGCCCTGCTAAATTAAAACTAAAACAATGCTTTTATCTGGAAATTGCCAGTCCTGCACGTGAGGGAAAGTCCCAAACCAAAAGTTGCGGGTCTAAGTTCAGTTACCTGTTTTTTTACCTAATTCCAAAATTTTAGTGGTTTTCCTGTTTGTAGTTTGACTGGTCCCTAAAAAGACAAGAGCCTAACAATCTGTGGGAGAACACTTGGAAGAACTTGTGTTGATGTTCTGGATGAACTGATATAAAGAGAAATGATGTCAAGAAGATCTTGGAAGATGCCAGGGCTTTTTTTGTGTGGTCTGGTTTGTTGTTGACATTTGGTTTGGTGTTTTTTGGATTGGTTTGGGCTTTTTTACATGCTTTGTCATTCTAGTTTGCCTCAAAGACGCCTCAAAGACAAGGAAGAGTTTCACACCTTGCTAGGTTATTTATAATCTCAGTTCTCTTTAGTGGTAGATACTTGGAAACAAATTGAAACTTCCATTTCAGATACTTTTAATTTTGCTGCTAGGCTGCCAGAACTATTAGGTTCAGTCCAGGTCTCCAGTGTATTTGCAGCTGTAATTTGGCTGGCCGAAGAATTTGCTGCTTATGCAGCAGCATAATTAACTGTATGTACGTCATTTTAAAATGAGAAGAAAAGCCAAGTCTAGCTATAGCATAACTCTGATATTGTAGTGCTGCTTTGGACACGACTGAGGGAGAATTTTTGTTTCTAAAAGTAAACCTACAACCAGAAAATACAAGGTCAGGAGTCAGATGTGGTAGAAAATGGATGTTAGTTACAGATGGATACAAATGCATTTCTCATGCTAGCTAGTTGAGTAATTCTAGAAACCTTTCCCCATCTCCTATTCTCTCCCACCCCCAAATTTAAACTCTAGCCTTAATTGTTCACAATCAGAATCAGGAGTCTTGCTGAGAGGTGAAGCAACTTGTTCAATAGGATGAGAAAAGAACACCAAGGTTGTTCTTTCTTATTTACTGTTTTAAAACTTAAAATGCTCTCCTGAAGAGGGAGAAAGGACTTCTTTCAGGATAATATTTTAGATAACTTTGTGTTCTTTGTTCAGAATTCAATTTTCAGACATGCCTCAGAACTTAAATTGTTATTGTTAAGTCGCCTGTAGCTTAATTAGTGCTAATTGGTTTTGTGATTGGCAGATTTGTTAATAAAATATCATTAAACATGTTGGAACACAAGTACAAGATGAGTACACATCTAGTTCTTATCTTCATTATTAGATTTATTCTAGAATTCCCTGAACTAATCATGAAACACTTATTGCTGTTAGTCACATTGTTCAGAAACCTGAAAGTGTTCAGATGGTGGTTTGGTTTTCTTTTATGTTTTTAAAATACAAATCTGAGATGTAAGTTTCTGGGGAAGAATGCATATTAACATAGTAAGGTGTTAAGATTTAATATAGTGCCTGAAACCACTCTGATTTCTTGATTTATGGTATTTGGAAGTTAATTTGCGTCTGCCATGACACAGAATTTTGAAGCCTTTGCTACATCTCTTTGGCTACTCCTGTGGATGCGTGTGTACAAGTAAAGCATTGAGCTAAATACTGAAAGATGATTTCTGGTTAATGGTTGTCTGGGGTAAAAGTATTCTCTTCTTGTGTATGTAATGTGGTATGCAATTCTGGAGGTATTTTTACTTACATTTCATTTTCTTCTTGCAGTTAAAGCTGGAGGTATGAGAGTGTCTAAAAAGCAAGAAAATGGACCTGCTGAGAAAAATGCTAAACCTCCAGGAAAAGACAAGTCAAGGTATTACAAAGCAAGGTCTGTTCACCCTTGCCCTGTAGTTCAAGTTCATAGGTAATGATCTTTGAAAACAAAGAAAACTCTTATTCTACAAGAGTTTAATTCTTAAATTAACTTGTGCAATTTATATTGAAATAAGTATCAACTTTAAAAACCCCAAAACCCAGCAACATCAAAACCTAAGGACAGTGCCTTGCAATGAAAGGCAAAGGCTGAATGTCATGTCTGTTGTCATGTTTTATGGAACAGAAATTATAACAACGTATTCCATACCTGTGCCTAATAAAGGAATGGTCAAACAGTTTCCAATGAAGTAGGAATGAACTTTAGGCTGTTTAATTCTGAAGGAAATTAAACCCACATCAACTACCCCCAGGGAAGAGTCTTATATCCTGTATAGGCTATACTCCCTATTTCAATCTAAAATCTAATTTGGCTTTTGTTGTTTGCTACTTTATAAAGTTAATCAAGCTGTTTTGCCCCAAAAATTAAGGCATGCTTCTATTTTTTATTAAGTAACACTGACCAGTTGATGTGGTCATTAAAACAGGTATTTTCTTGCAGTTTTTTCAAACACTGAACATTTTTCCTAAATACATGCACTTCTTAAAACTTAACAAAAAGTTAAATTAACCAATATAAGGATATGACAGTAAAAATTTGAGTGACTTGTGGTGTCCCTGAAGTTTTTGATTTTTTTGTTGTTTTCTTCTGGGATTAAAAGCTTTTTATTTTCACTTGTTGCCAATTGTCCGGGTGTAATTTTGCAGCTGTCTTTTCCATAGTCATAGTTACCTAATGGTATAAACAAATCTTAAATAGCTTATATTTGTCAGTGTAGCAAACTGTCGATTCCTAAATTGAAAAGTCTTGCCTGATCCACAGACTCATTAACTTAAATAAAGATATATCTGCTTTTTCAAGAGTCACATTTATGGTATTTGGGGCTTAGCATGGTTTTTCCCTACTCCGTTTTAAGGTGCAGATGTGTCAGTGGATATAGTGGTATCATCAGAAGAATGTGCCATCTGGGTTCCTCCTGTTGTTGAAGGATCTATTTTCATATCCACAGATTTGTTTATTTGTGGAATATTAGTAACATGGTGTTATTTATTAGAATATTGAGAAATTAATGGCATAATCATGTGAAAAAGAAGTTCTTGCTTCAAAAGAAAATTTTTTGCAGATCAGGGTATAACTGCTCAGCTTCTGAGAAGTTATTTCACAGTGTACAAAAAAAATCCTTTTGGAGATATTAAAGGATATTTCATATACAGTTTTTTGTATATCTGAATAAAACAACCTGTCACACAGCTTTTCTGTTGTTCCAGAAACAGCATGCCTTTTTTGGTATTATATAGTTTTTAATGTGATGAAAAGATTTAACTCCAAATCCTAAATTGATATTGCAAAATGTCTTGTATTAAATGTGGAAAATGAAAGTGACAAGTGCTCAGGTGTTTCTGTGATGTGGAAATGCTAAATACTTTTTTCTTCTACTTTACAGTGCTATTGTCAGTTTTGCAAAACCTCAGAACATGGGTGTCTTGGTAGCAGAAGCACTGAACAAAGTAAGTCTGGAAGAACAAGTTAGGGTTTTCTCATAAATCTAAACATGAAAAAGAGTTAAAAAGTGAAGTTTCCTTGAACTGGTGTCTGGCAGTTGCAGGTGTTTCATATGCCACGAAATGTTCTTGGGATAACTATTTCTGTAGTGGCTGTGTGGCTGAGCTGCTAGATGGCTAAAAAGTACCTGGCCTTCTCTCCTTACTGTGATTCCACTCCCAGTTACTGTGTGCACACCTGTGCAGAGAAGCACGGCCAGGCCATGAGGTGTGTCCTGCTTGTAGAGTGGCGTGGTGCATCAGCTTTAGTGAAATACAGGGAAGGATTACCAGTGGCATCTAAGTGTCTGGCCCAGCTGGGATTACAGTGCAGAGCAAAACCTTGTCTTCAATGCTTCATCCCACCGTGGAAATCATTCTGACCTCTGTGAGGGTCCAGCAGAAATACAGAGCTGCTTGAGGGACTGGGTGGCATGACTGGCAGGTGCAGGGCACACCAGGATGGTGATGCAGTGTCCTGCCTGTGAATGATCCCCACTGAATGATCAGAGACAACAGGCACAGCATGTCCTACTGCTGCCCCATATCTTGTGTTTCATCTGAGGCCTGACATGGCTCAGTCAGGCACCTTTTGATTTCTCCCTTAGGAATACTGCGGGATCCTGTACAATCCTGTATCCCACAGCTGCTAAGGGACCCTTCTGTTTATCACAGCTCCTGTGATAGCCCTGTGTCTCATTAGGCTGCTGGTGCAGACTTACAGCTGCCCTTTGGAAGAGCTGATATCACAAGCAGCTCTTTGGTTTGCATGGTAATCTTACTTGTTAACTCTGGAATACCAATTATTTGCTGTGTTTTCCTTATCTTGGAAGCTCATTCTATGAACTACTGAACAAGGAAAGAAGAAAAAAGTAAAAAAATCTCCTAAAGGTAGTCAGACTAATATCACTTTAAAACCAGAAATTATAACTAAATATACCAAGTTACCTTGAGTTCTATGTATTGATCACTTGAACTTTTTGTGGGTTTAGGTTGTACTGCTCCTTTTAAACTACTTTAATAGGATGAAATTAGAAAGAGAAAAGCTGAAAAATCTGTATTCTATCACAACTTTTTTTTCTCCCCCCTTTAATGTTACAGATGAGCCACAAAATCCATGCAGCAACATTGCAAGTGGCTCACCAAAAGCCACAGCCTACCTTGGAGAAGTTCATACTGCCTAAAAGAATTTACATTATTCAACAGCCACGGAAATGTTAAGATAATCATTTAAATACTTATGTTTACTTTAAAGTTTCACTTAGCACACTGTGGTGAAGTGCTCAAAAGCTGTGTGCCTTGTATCTTGCTGTATTTGTTACTGACAATAAAATGTAAGAAGAGTTACTAAATGTACTCAGGATTTATTACAATATAATGGCTTCTCTGTAACCTGGTGTTACTGGTATGTAGTAATTACTCAATGCCAAAAAGTCTAAGATTCACTTACTGTGTGAGTTTTGAGTGAAGGAATGGAAACTGTTAGCCCTGTTGTTTTGGTTTTTTTTTTTTAGTTTAATGGTAGCAAAGCTGATGTGAACTTGATTCTAAGAAAGCAGGTCATGACTGAAAGACATGGGGCTTCTTTCAATTGAGCCTGAATGCATACCTGAGGCTTACTGCATGATAAGTAATTCACAAAGTCCTGGGAAGGATTTCAGTGCAATGACAGAAGTATTTATTGCTTGCATTTCTTTCTGTAAGAAAACCCAGCTCCTCTGCAGGGATCCAGCAAGCAGGAAGAACCGAGTGGAAGCAGTCTGAACCTATTTGGGGCTGAGGTGGATAAATGAAGGAAGTACCTGACTTGGAGCTGAACTCTTGGGATAGGAGGGCAGGCAGCAGGGAGGAGCCAAGGTGCAGAGAATGCTGTGGCTGGAGATTGGAGTTGGTAGAATGGGGTATGAGACTTAGCACTGATTGCTAGTAGTAGGGTCATGACGGGCCAAGCTTAAAAGTGGGGAGGAACAAATGTAAACCCCAGTCCAGGCAATGTCCTTGAGCCATGACCTGCTTGCAGTGACAGCAGGGACAATAGAGAGAGCCAGAGGATAATACTGTCTTGCTGTTGGGAGTGGGTTGTGGAGCTCCACTGATTCAGAATTTAATTCTGCTTGTGACTATTTTTTTTAAGGTTACGGTTGCAGAAGAGTACTGTCCCAAAATTGGTTCTTTCACCCTTTTGGTGGGCAAGAAGTCGATGCCCACAGAGAGTGGAGGTTTTTGATTTATTTACAGTTGTGTGCAGAAAGGGCTGCTGGGTTATGAATTGCCAGAGCTAGCACGGACACAGACCAAGGCAGGCCCACCTATAGGTTACAGTCTCAGGCTAAGCAGATCTTTATTCACCTCATGGTTAAGTTGCTATTAGCTTCTCCTCTCTGTTTCAGTCTCAAGGTATAGTGCCCCAAGAAGTCATGGTACGTGCTCAGTGAGCAGTGGGCGCTTGGTGGGCAGAGGAGACTGAGCTAGGGATGTGGCTTTTATATTATAATTATAGAATGAGGAAAGTTCATGGCAAGGGCAAGTTCTCACCACAGAAACAGTCAGACCTGGGGCTTTTTTGGCCCATCATATAAGGTCCTGAATAAGAAGGATGTGATCTTGCTATTCCTTCCCCTTCAAGGACCTAGGACATCCATTTTGTTTTCTACATTCCTGTGGCTGTTGCTCCCAGTGCTTAACTGCTTTGTTCTCTTATTATTTGGAACTTTGCTCCTATTATTCATCCGTTCCTCACTTCCACACTTATGATTCTTCTTATACATACCATAAGTCTCACTTTGGAACCAGCACATATTTTCCTGAAAAGAATCACAGGGCTGACAGGTAAGTCAATTGCTTCATGATTTCCCAAATGCAAATACATAGTGCTACGATTAACACAAAACATAATAGGGTTAGCATTAGGAGAACAACAAGATAAACCATCTCATTTAAACTCCCTGTAGTGATATTAAAGGACCATCTGAAAAGTGTCCCTCCATCCGTGTGCTCACTTCACTTTTTCCAACCCTTGTGTGCTTTCCACACCACGATGGACAGTAATCAAACTATTTTTTCCATTCTTCTGAGCTTGTTTCAGCGGTTGTTCCAGATCATCATGCTATAATAATTTTCTTACTAAAGTGAGATTCATCCCAGCAGGAGTGGGCAGCAGATCTTGAATCAGCATATAATTATCCTGCAATAGCTGATATAATGTGACAGGAGCTGAATAATTGAAATCCCAGCCATTGATTTTGGTGAAATTATGAACACAAACATTAGAGTAATTAGCTGTATCTATAATAAGGTTATCTACAAATATGAAACCACAAGGTGTTCTCATATAAGCAGATGGTTTTCCTGTATATAAAAGTACAGGTTCATGAGCTTCATCAGGATGGGTTTCAAAATGACAAACACTATTCTGGATCCAGACAAATGTCAGGGCTTTGGTGTCAGTGCACAAGGGAGTCCCTGTTCCCATACAGTGCATGTGCTAACACTGATGCTTTGCCATTCCACATGGGCCTATGTCCTGTGCTCCAGGGTAGGGTTCAGCTATGATTCAGGCCTAGTGCAGTCACTGAGGGACAGGCACTGAGGCATCCTATATGGATTAGTACCAGGACCGTGCTATTGGTATTACAGGTAAAACTGACTAAATGCCACCAAGACTGGAATTCTTTTGCAAATTCAGTCATTATTCCAAATTACTTTTTGAAGTTCAGTGGGTGAAGGTGCCTTCTTCACCTTCTCTTCAAATGACTGCTGCTGTTGATTGTATCCACAACTGAGCTCAGACATAGCTAAGAGGCAAGGAACCTTCACCTTGGGTTGCACCAAGTGCCTCTGGGATCAGCTATTTTCAGGTCGCTCATTGCTTCTTTCCCACTGAGCCAATGTGTCAGGTAAGAGCCATTGATTAGTTTCTAATGCTGGTAGAGAAGACCACAGAGGGTATTGCAGTTTGCTTAAATCACATGTGGTTGTGCTCAGGTTATTTATAAATACTTCAGTATCTGCACAATTTAAAACGCCCAAGTCCCTGTGGTTCCAGTCACATCTCTTCTTGTTCCTTTTGGAGAAGTGGGGGTTTTCCCATGTAGCCAAGCTAACTGTCTTGCATGGGAAGCACTTAAGAATGCTGACCCCATTGATTTAAGTGTAGGAATATTAATCTGCATTAATAGTTCTATTTGTTTAAGAAACCAAGGTGGATTAAACAACATTTGTTGCTGATCTGCATTTTTAACACATGGTCTAATTTAAAAAATTTTTGGGGATTGAATTTTCTCATCCTCTTTGACTGGGGCAGATGTTGTTTTGGTTTCAGTAATATCTACCTTGAGTTTAAATGATAGTCCCACATTATGGTGATGCTAAAGGCATATAACAAAACGAGGTTTAACCACGGTAACATTATACCGACAATCCCCCCTTTTGTTGGTACAAAATTTCAAGTCTTTTATGCTTGATTCTGTTGTATTATGAAACATTGAAATCTGAATGGCTTTCCCATGTGTAGATGTATTGATCATTCTGCAGCCTATCAGAATTTTTCCTTGGGTTGTTCCTTTCAAGAGAGGAACTCAACTACATCTATCCCAACCCTACCCATGTTATAAATATGCTTCATCTCCATGCATAACCAGAGTAGCGAAATTGTACACTAAAATTGTATACTTAAATTTATGCTTCATGTGAAAGGTGATACTAAAAAAATGGTTATACTGTCAATCAGGATTCTTTTTAAAGTGTGGTTTCCACATGACTGCAGTGGAAAGCTATTGCAAACATATGAGACACTCCCTCTAAAAACAAGGGGTCCTGAGAAGGTTACCCAGAGTTAGTGTTGGTATTTAACACTAACGTCTGCATCTTTTCATCCATCCATCAAATGAAAATACCTTTGTGTTGATTAAAGATTAAATTAGGATCACAGGAGGTGGTGATTAATAGCATATGCAAGAAATAATTTGGTTACACCTTGAATAAATAGAAAAGATTAAAATACTGCTTCTCCTTTGAAGACAACTGTTTTTTGTCTCAAGTTCCATAACTGACTGATAGCTACTTGTGAAATGCTATCAGTGTTATCCTGGACAACAGCGACAATATACTTTATGGGTGTTGAAGTTGTAGCTATGGGATTTGGAAAACAGTCTGCTTTGTGTCTTCTGTAGCACACTTCTATTCCCCAGGCTGGCCCTATGGCAGTGAATGTCAGTGAACAAACAGGACTTGAGTCAAAGCTGTCCATGTGTTAAATGACAATCTATGCTCCCAAAGCCAAAAATAGCACAGTGCACTCTAATGTATCAATGGCCAATACATGCTTCGTCTGTAAAGAATATT